CAGCATGGATTGCACAACGTAGATTGCACCACGTACGTTGCATCACATGGATTGACCACATCGATTCTCCTTTCTAGGTAACACATAGGTTTTACCACCCTCCCCCCCCCGACTGATCGATACCCCGGGACCTATGCAAAACACATGATTGGGACCCAATGCCCATTTGATTTGTGAATCGATTCAATCCCAGCCAGGCCACTATCGGTCCCCCCCGCCATCTTCGGCAAAAAACACTATGCGCGCACTCGTTTATCAATCCCTTGCATCAAATGGGACGAAATGTGCACGCGCGCGCCGTCGCGCGCGCATGCCGACATCCTTCAACAACCTTCGGCTTCGGAAGGATATTTAAACCGAGTGTCCAAACAACATAAACATCATGGTTTCGCAACGCGGATTTCCAACAAAAGCGGGCCCGCGCGTTCTTGCGAATTCTTTAGAAAACCATGCGTTTCCAACATTTCATAACATGCTAATAAACGGGCTTCGCGCGCGCATGTCAAAGTCGTTCGAAGGCCCTTGCGCGCGTGGTGGGGTGGCACGATCCGTGTCAATTTTTTTCCTTGCGAGCCACTCTCGCGCGTCTGCCTCGCGCGCATTTCGAATTCATTCCTAAACCCCACCACCGAGGCGAAGACTTTGTCATCGTCGTCGGCGTGATTAGCATCGGCGCCGTCACTGGCTGCCCCGTCGTCGCTGTCAGCATCGTCGCCAGCATCGCTGCTATCATCATCGTGGCTACCGTTGTCGTTGTTGTCATGGTACCGCGTCCGCCCCAGTCGGCGAGTTGCACTGAAGTGCCCGCTGGGATGTGCCGAGCGGTCAGCGCCACCGCGTTCGCGTCCGTCGCGCCAAAGTAGCTGGCCTCTGCGCGCGCGAGCATGCGCGGGCTAGCGCGGCCGCAGAGATGCACCAGCCAACACCCAACATTCATCGCAATCGCTGTTGCATGGGTTTTGCAAACCAAGTTGCGGGTGTGTGGGCTGGGTGATTGCGCGAGCAGTGGATTGACAATTTCAAGCTCGGCAAGTGAATGGCACCGCGTAGATTGCACAACACATATTCCACACCGTGTGTATATAATACAGAATTTGGTCGCGCAGTATACATTGTACCAATGTCGTTGCACCACATGGATTGCCCCACGTATCTTTCACAACCCAAATTGATGGACACGGTTTTGGGTCAGTGAGCACGCAAGAGAACTTGGAATTCCGTTTAAACGAACGGTTGCAAAACGGTACGCTGGGGTAGGGTTGGAGATCGATGGCACGACGGACGCATGTAAAACAACATAGCGATTGCTTCTCCAAAATGCTCCCACAGTATCCTCAGTGAATTGTGCGCGTTCTTCGGCACCGCGTGGTTGGTTGCAGCCGCGGTGCGTGTCACTGCATGTGGGGAAACGTAGGATCCGAGTTCGCAGGAGCTTAGGTCAGCTGACGTTCTTTTGACGGGGCCCGTCCTGATTGTTATCTTTCCGGTCTTCGTGGGACGTCAGCAGCGGGAGACGGGAGCTAGGGTCTCGCCATTTCCTCGGCCGCCCTGTCGGGCCAACCCGACCGGAGCGGAGCTTTGTGGCCACCGCCCATGCGCGCGTATTTTTGGGCTGGATCAGCTCGTTCGTCGGGGTGGTGTGCAAGAAGTGCTTTCCCAGGGGTTGCCCATGTTGTGCGCAACCCCCTCTCCGCGATCTTGTGCTGGACCATCTTGTGAGTGGGGGTGGTGCAAAGAAACCGTGCCCCCGCGTTAGGCCGACCCGAGCCCATGGAATCCGAGTCTCACGTCCCCCCGATACAGTCGGCGGCGAGCCCCGGGGCAAGTGAGAAGGAGAAGGCCTTCTCTTGGGGGCGGCAAAGAGGGGGGTGATGACTGGGGGGGGGATATCATGGCGTGGGCCATGATATTTCCCAGATTTCATGGCGCCTCTTCTTATTTCATTACGTCCCTGGCCCCCCCGCTGGGCCGCGGACATGCCGCCTGTCATGATCTGCACCCCCCCCTCTTGGACACCCCCCTCTTGGCCGCTCCCGATTCTCAGAAGGCTCGGAAGTCCCCCCGGTCGTCCGAGAAGTTTTCGAAGCGCTCGAGAAGACGCAGAACACCTCAGGAGGCTGGAGGGCTTCCGAGAAGCCCCGCCGCCTTTTGAGAAGTCCTTCTCCTTCTCACCTCCCCCCCTCGCTCGACGCCGACCCCCGCCTGGACCCAGCAGGCCCGAAAGGGCACCGAAGTGCATCCAAGAAATCCGCGCGGAGCTCCGAAAATTCGTGGTCGTGCCTCTCCGTCCCCATCGAATGCAGGTGCCGGGATGGGAAGGAAGTTCTACGCTTCTCCTAACGCTTTCCACTTCGGCGCATAGGCGGTTTGCCGGCCTCGGGGTGCTTTCCAGCAGCTGTGCCTCGCCGAGAGCGTTCCCGGGTGCCCAGGTCGTCCCGAGCGGTCGCCAGAGACGGGAGGCGTGACCCGAAAGTTCATTCGGCGTTTGCGCGGCAGGCCCCAGGAGCGCCCGAAGTGGCCCAGTGAATATCAAGGATGGCATTGCCCCTCTACCCTCGAGGAGTAGCTGCTGGCACAAGCATCAACTTTGAGAGGCCCGCGCTGCTTTCTTGGTTCGGCGCTCGACCCCCACTCCCTTTGGCGCTCCGCGCGGATTTCTTGGATCCGCGCTGGGGCCCCCCAGCGGCGCCTCCAGCGCTGCCCCTGGCGCGCTCCGCACGCCCGGGTCCAGTGCGGATCCAAGAAATCGGCGCGGAGCGCCGAAAGTTAAAGTTTATCGCTGAGCCGGTCCCCCATATCGCTTCCCTTCTGGCTCATATTTTTTAGGGTCCTATGTTGCACGCGTCCTTGCGCTTGATCCCCTGACGTCCTTTCAGGGTTCATGTCGATCCGACCGATCCGATTCGATCTCGCTTCTGGCCAGCTCAGTCCGATTCGATTCTTATGTTTTGGCATTTTGATGCGCCCCGATGCTCGCATGGTGCTATTGTGTATCCTGGTGGAGCGAGCCCGATTCGTTTCGTTCCACATTAAGCTTTGCCGTCAACACGAGGCCTATAGAGATCCGATGTCTTGGTGTCCCTGGAAATCTCGACCCGCTCCCTGGGACCGGCGTTTCGTGCTGACCCATGCTTTCCTGGGTCCCAGGGCCCTGCGAGGGCCTCTACAGGCCGAACACGTCTGATCAGCCTGGCGAAGGACCCAAACATCTGCAGCTGAGAGTACAGCAAGTCAGGCGAAGCTCAGGGATGGGGGCCAGCAAAAGAACGCAGGCGTGCGTGAGAAGGACGGAGCGGTGCGGCGTTGCTGCTGGGGTCGCAGCAGTGTTGGGTTACAGAAGCCGTTGCGGCCGATCTGCGCGGCGCAGCCCCGGGGAGCAGCAGGCGGCGGGCGGGGCCTTCGGTGGCGCTCCCTACGGCCCGCGCAGCGTAAGACGGGTGTACCAAAACGGGCGGGGTCACGCCTGCGATTTTTGCCATCGGCTTCTACGGTAGAGTTCCCTATGCTGTCACCAGGCGTATGAGGGGTGTCCCGCAAAATGGGTGGGGCCCCACGCGTGCGAGTCCTGCCACAGGGGCCTGCGGTGGAGCTCCCTACGCTGCCACCACACGTGTGAGCGGTGTCCCCGAAAAGGGCGGGGCCACGCAGGCGAGCCCTGCTACTGGGGAAGCGTGCGAGGGGAGGTATGCCGAGGCGCAGGCCTTAACCATGTGGAGGGCGGGGGCGGGGAGGGCAGGGCCAGGGGCAGGAGGAGGGAGGAGGGGGCGTAGGAGGAGGAGGAGGAGGAGGAGGAGGAGGAGGAGGAGGAGGAGGAGGAGGAGAATGAGGAGGGGTAAGTGGAGGAGGGGGAGGAGGGGGAGGAGGATGAGGAAGGAAGGAAGGGAGGGAGGGAGGGGGGAGGGAGGGAGGGAGGAGGAGGAGAGGAGGAGGAGGGAGAGGGAGAGGAAGAGTGAGAGGCTGTGCCAGTCCTGCGCCAACCCCAAGAAGAGTTCGGAACGATCTAAGCTCCTGCAGCTCAAAGTGCTTGGGTCCACCCACAGGCTTGGCCAGTCGTTTCCCCTTTCGTCCCTCCCTCCTTCCCTCTTCGGCCTGCCCCCCCACCTGCCCCTGCCCCCCCCCCTCAAGTGGGGCATCTCTTTGATGCGCATGTCTGTAATAGTTTATTGGCTGTCCTGTGGATGATCAGACGCACTGAAGGTCGCTGGGGTCGCTGAGGAAGAGGAGGATGAGGATGAAGAGAAAGAACAGGAGGAGGTGGTGGAGGAGGAGGAGGAGCCGCAGGAGGAGGAGGAGAAGGAACGCGGGGCGCTGCTGATTCAAAACGAGGACCCCACACATGATGGTTTGGCAATCGCGCTGAGGTCGCTGAGGAGGGGAAGGAGGAGGAGGAGGAGTTGAGGGAGGAGGAGGAGGAGGAAGAGGATAAGGAGGAGGTTGATGATGATGCTGATGATGATGATGATGATGATGATGCTGATCATGATAATGATGCTGCTGATGATGATGATCTTGATGATGATGATGATGATGATGATGATGATGATGACGATGATGATGCTGCTGATGATGATGATGCTGATGATCATGATGATGATGATACTGATGCTGCTGATGATGAGGATGATGATGATGATGCTGATGCTGATTATGATGCTGCTGATGCTGATGATGATGATGACGATGATTATGATGCTGATGCTGATGCTGATGATGCTGATGATGATGATGACGATGATGATGATGACGATGATGATGCTGATGATGATGATGATGATGATGATGATGATGATGATGATGATGATGATGATGATGAAAGGAGGAGGATCTAGGAGAAGGAGGAGGAGGAGCTAGGAGGAGGAACGCGGGGCGCTGCTGATACAAACCGAAGACCCAACACAGGATGTTTGCGAAACGCCTCCGTAGCGAGTCCTCCAACGCGATGGGCTGCTGGGGCCTCTCGGCGCTGCCGGCCTCCGGCTCGCCCGCCCCGCTTCCCCGAGGACCGGTGGTGCGCCGACGAGTACCTACGGCTTGCCATGGAGGAGAACGAGGAGCCCGAGGAGGACGGCCCTCGCCCCTTGGTGGCCATTGAGGCCCAAGAGGCTAAGAGCATTGATGTCCCCGACGAGCTATCGACGACTGTGAACGTTCTCGCCTTTTCGCGCTGCCGACGCTCCATGGACGGCCCAGAGGGCCCCGAGCATCGCCCCAAGACGGCTCAATAGGCTGCAAAATAACCCAAGCCGACCCAAGAGTGCCCCAAGGCCGCGTCAGCATGCAAAGCAAGGCAGCCTTGACCCCCTCGCGTCGCGAGACATCGGACGCGTTCGGGTGTCTTCGTTGTGGGCCAGCTGGGGGTCGGAGGAGGCCCAGCATTTTTTCCGGCGCGCAGGACGGGGAGGCAAGGTTCGAGGTTCAGGGTTCGGGGGGGTTTGGGCCTCGTCGGCCTCCAAGGGCGTGTTCGGGCCTCGGCACCGTGAGAAGCCACTCTGGGGCGAAACACTTTCACAGATGGGGTCCGTGGGGAGATTTTGAGCAGATCTACCCTTCTCCCACCCCTCTTCCCATACCCCGGGCGTCGTGATTTTTCCACAGCGTCGGCCCCCAGAGGTCTGGACTCTTCCCCGGGACGGCCCCGAGGCCCAGCAAGGGCCCCTGGAGGCTGAAATAGCGAAAAACCTCGTGATTTTGATTTCACAACGCGAGGGGGTCTGGGTTGACGTACTTTCTCGTCAGAGAGAGGAGAGGAGGAGAAGGGAGGCTTTCGGGGGACCTCTGCGTCAGGGTCGGGCGGCCTAGGCCCCCCGCGGAGTACACGCTGACGCATCCTCCGGCCCATCCAGGCGCGGTGCCTGTCTACAGTGAACGAGCTGCATGGCGAAGGGGGGTGGAGGAGCACAGTCGACATACAGGAACGCGTCGAGGTTTTCGGTCGTTCCCGGCGGTTCTCGTCGGCGTTCCAGCCTCGGGATGCTTTCCATCGGCTGCGCCTCGTCGAGAGCGTTGAGGTGGTGCCGCTGGAGAGCCGAGTTGTGGCCCGAAAGCCAGGGTCCAACATTAGAGAAATGGGCGGCGCAGGTCACACCAAAGGGGAAGCCAGCCCGAGAAGCCCCCGCAAATAGGCCACGTCGGTGCTCTCGTGGGGGGGCCCTCTTGGCCTTCCTGTGACTCTTACGGGTCAACGTTGGCAGCCTTTGGGTTCTTGCTGTGGCTACGCTAATGAAAGAGCACGGGCAGAAATCGCAGAGGTAATCAATTAGCCATCCGTCCCTCGGAAACGGATACATCGCCCTATTGGCTCTCTTGGGGCTCTGGTGGAGAAGCTTCTGACGGCACTCTTGGCTTTCTCGGGGCATCAAAACGATGCGTGAATCAGGAACACACTTAGGACATGTTTGAAGCATTTTGCTTCGTCTGTTTGAAGCTGCAATCGCAGAATCGGAGCTTCTAGCATCTCGTTGGCATTCTTGTGAGACTCGGCGACCACCTCACCTCAACGCCATCTTGGCACCTTGTTTTGGGCTCTTGGAGTCGTGCTCGAGACAATTTGAAGTCCAACTGGTCAGTCTTACTCAATCCTGAGGGCAAGCTCAGGTTAGTTACTTATCTGTGGACATCTTGGGGCCATCTTGGGGCCATCTTGAACGCTCTAACGACCCACGGCATCCCTGGTCGAGACCCCCAGGGAGGCATACCGGTCCTCGAAGGGAAATGAAGCGCTTACCTTGGACGCGCTGATCCGCTAACCACCTGTTCCCACAGGGCTGGATTGACCGGTAGCTGATATTCGCCCAGGAGCGTGACCTGCAGGTGCCCCATTCCTGGCCTGAGTGGGTTGACCAGAGAGGGATCGCACCAGAGGGGAGCACAGCTGGCGCGAGGGTTCAGACGAAGCCCTGTGTTGGAGGGGCACCCTTGCGCTCCTCGTGTCCAGGCCCTCCACCTTGGAAGGCTCCCCGGTTGGTTACCGCCATGCCGGCTTGGGGCCTTTGGGGAAGAGGGGGGCTCGTGTTCTCGACTCGGTCTCTCGTGGCAGCGCCTCGACAGCGTCGCCCCGCTGGCGCCCGTGCATCGCCGGATGCTCGTGTCGTGTCCGCGTGGCTGCCTCCCCTGCCAGGGGCGCTCAAGGTTGCACTCAGCCAATTCGGAAAAACATGCATTACCAGTGGCGGGCTGTTTTTCAGTCCCAGAACTTTTCGAGGGTCGGTAGTGTGTACAAGGAAGCAATGAAACATGTATACACCAGGATCCCGTATACACCAGGATCCGCTTTCTTGTGCGGGGCCGCAGAAAACGTCGGTGTATAGAGCCCGGTCCCTTACCAGTGGCCCCAGCGATCCGGCGATCGACGAGCCGCCCACGCGGCTCGAGGCTGAGCGGCCCACGCTGCGCCGGAGGCCAGCGCGCAGGCCGCCGCGTCGCGGCGCCCACGCGTCGCCGATCGCTACCGCAGGCTCGCGTCGTGTCGACGCGAGCCTGCGTCCCCGCCAGGGGGGCGCTCGAGGTTGAGCTCCGCCAGGGGCCCAATCACGTTGCGTCTTCGGGAAGACCTCGCCTGTGCCGAGAACTGCTGTCTTCTCTCGTGCCCGACGCGGGCTCGATGCGGACTCGACGCGGATTTGGCGTGGATCCGATGCGGATTCGACGCGGATTCGACACGGATTCGACACGGCACGGATCCGACGAGGCCGTTGAGGACTCGACACGGATTCGGCGCGGATAGGGCCAGGTCGGGACAGACAAGGTCCACCGAGGATGCAACATGTTCTTAGCATCGGCCAATCTGGAATGATCGGGCGATCGACAAGCCGCCAGTGCAGGGCTCATTATTTCGATTCCCCGATTCGATTCGATGCCGGTGCCTTCCGATTCCGGTTCGATTCGGCTTCGGATTCCGCCTTGGGCGCCGAGTTCTCAGTGGAGACCCCTTCGCTTGCAGAAACCTCCGCCGATCCGACATCTAGGGGGCCACATGCGAACCCTACCCCTACCCCCCACAATTTCTGAGGGGAAGGGTAGGGTTCACTTCGCTCGAGAGCTCCCGAACGAAGTGACCCCACCATGGGCTCGCATGTGGCCCCCTAACGTCTCCCGGCTCGACTGCCGCTTTCCGCTGATCCGATGCGTTTAGATCACCGGTCCGACGCGTCGATCTGATTTTGGGCTCGCCCGCCAGAGGCCCGCGCCCCCCCCCGGCAGCAGCCAAACGTCGTGGAGGAGGAGGAGGAGGAGGAGGAGGAGGAGGAGGAGGAGGAGGAGGAGGGGAATGGGGGAGGGGTAGGAGGGAGGAGGAGGAGGAGGAGGAGGAGGAGGAGGAGGAGGAGGAGGAGGAGGAGGAGGAGGAGGAGGAGGAGGAGGAGGAGGAGGAGGAGGAGGAGGAGGGAGGAGGAGGAGGAGGAGGAGGAGGAGGAGGAGTTGGAGGAGGAGGAGGAAGAATAAGAGGAGGAGGCGGAGGAGCAGGAGGAGGAGGTGGAGGAGGAGGAGGACCAGTGTAAGCCCAAGAGCCATCAACGATGTTGGGATACACCCTCCCTCCAAGCTTCCTCTTCCAAGGCCCCTACCAGGGTTCATTTCCACTGAGGGAGCTGCCTCGTTGGGAAGCAACCGTTTGAAGACCCTGATGCATGCCAAAACAGGGAATCCGTGAAACTCTTGCAACATATTAATAGGAATGAATGTGCGCGCCGCTGAGGCGAGAGCCACATTTTCAAAAATGAGCCGCCCTCAATCCGTGAAGCTCTTGCGATGGTTGAAAACGAATGTGCGCGGCTCTGAGGCGAGAGACCCCATGTTGAAAAGGAATCGCCCTCAATCCGTGAAGCTCTTGCACATGTTTAAAACGAATGTGCGCGGCGCTAAGGCGAGAGCCAACTTTGATGTTGAAGCTGTTGGTGATAATGACCACGAATATGATGATGATGAAGATGATGATGATGGTGATGGTGATGGTGACGATGCTGATGATGAGGATGAGGATGAGGATGAGATTGAGGATGAGGATGAGGATGAGGATGAGGATGAGGATGACGATGAGGTTGAGGATGAGGATGAGGATGAGGATGATGATGAGGATGAGGATGCTGTTGATGCTGATGCTGCTGATGATGCTGCTGATGATGATGATGCTGATGATGATGATGCTGATGATGATGAATGATGATGCTGCTGATGCTGATGATGATGATGATGATGATGATGATGATCATGATCATGGTGATGAGGATGATGATGATGACGATGATGCGATGCTAGAGATGATGATGCTGCTGCTGATGGTGATGATGACGATGATTCGGAGTGTTATGATGATCCTGATGCGCAGGAGGATGCTGATGCTGCTGATGATGCTGATGATGATGGTGATACTGATGATGATGATGATGATTATGGATGAAGATGGTGATTATGATTGTGTTCATGCTGATGCTGATGATGAGGGTGATGATGATGAGTATGATGAGGCTGATGATGATTACGATGATGAAGAAGAATACTATCATGATGATGGTGATGCTGTTGATGATGGTACTGTTGATGATGGTGGTGGTGATGATGTTGTTGATGATGATGTTGTTGATGATGATGATGATGATGTTGGCGCTGATGATGATGCTGATGATGATGATGACGATGCTGATGCTGATGCTGATGATGATGATGATGATGATGATGATGATGATGATGGTGGTGGTGGTGGTGATGATGATGATGCTGCTGCTGCTGCTGATGATGATGATGATGATGATGATGATGATGATGATGATGATGATGATGCTGATGCTGATGCTGGGATTGCGGGGAGTAGTGAGGGGAGGGAAGACGGCGATGGAGGAGGGTTGCGGAGGACGAGGATCACGATAAGGAGGAGGATGAGGAGGACTATGGAGGACGAGTAGGTCGGGAGGAGGACGATGCCTCTGGGGAGCCGCGTCCGTGGGCACAACAACGATTTCTGGAGCCCAGCCCCGCCGCTGGCACAGGACGCGGGCCGCAACAGCGGCGACGACAGCTGACCCGGGCCCGCCCGCGAGAAAAAGAGGGAGAGAGGGATGGAGGTCTGCAGTCATGGGCAGCAATAGGGGGATGAGGCTCATGGAAGAACGCATCGACCCCCAATCGCTCGTTGTCCCTGCCCAGGAATGTGTGGATTTGATATCGGGGCCTTTACCGATCTATCGGCGATGTGTCGCCGATTCCAGCCCGTCCCCACCCGTCGTTGCCCCTCAGGGAGGAAGGGGGGAGAAGAGAGCAGGGGTATCGAGGGGGATCGAGGGGGGAGGTCGATGTTGGGGGGATGGGCTAAGGGGGGACCAGCTCGGTGGCCCCCCCCCCCTTGAGCTGGTCCCCGCGCAAATGTCGTGGGCCCTTGGGCGGCGGCGGGGCGCGCCTGGGCCAGGTCAGGCCCCGGGGGATGGGGAGAGGGAGGGCGGGATTGCGCGAGGCCGCTCGGGCGGGTGGTGAGGGGGGCTGACCTGAATTGGGGGGAGACCTAAATGGGGGGGGAGTAGGAGGAGGAGGAGGAGGAGGAGGAGGAGGAGGAGGAGGAGGAGGAGGAGGAGGGGGAGGAGGGGGAGGAGGAGGAGGACGAGGAGGAGGACGAGGACGAGGAGGAGGAGGCGGAGGAGGAGGAGGAGGAGGCGAGGACGAGGACGAGGAGGAGGAGGAGGAGGAGGAGGAGGAGGAAGAGGAATAATACTGATGCTACTAATAATGATAATAATAATACGGAGATTGACAGGAGTCGCAATACGTATCATGACAATGCTACTACTGATGATATGAAGACGAAGACGACAATGACGAATCATACTAAGAGAATGAATAGTAATAAGAAGACGAAGGCGAATAATAATAGTCATACGAATACTAAGAGAATTACTAAGAACACATAATAATGATAAGACGATTACTAATATTGAAAGTACTAGTAATGCAAGAAGAATAATAATAAACTTATGAATAAGAAGAATACTACTACTAGTATTTGTAAGAGGAAGCAAAATAATAGTCATAAGAGTAAGAAGAATATTAATACTAATAAGAGGAGGAGGAGGTGGAGGAGGAGGAACTGCCGCGGCATTGCCCGACACCCACAGCATGTGGGGGCCTGTCTACGGCAAGTCCGAGGGGGGTGGGCGCAGCAGACCAGGGGGGGTGACGGAGAGCCTCCTCCCTCCCTCGCTCGCCCCAGGTCGCAGGCAGCAGCTGCCGCAGGGACGCGTCCCTCTGGGTGCAGCCCCGTCTGGATCCGCGCCCGGTGGTCGCGCCCCTCGCGGGTGGCTGGTCTTGGCGCACTCCCCTAGCGGGTGTCGGGGGTCGGTCGTGGCCGCGCACCCGCACTGGAGGCAGAAATGCAAGCTGTGGCGCGGCCACAGCTGCACTTGGTGGGGCGAAGGAAGATGCTGGCCCTCCACCCACGCCTCAGCCCCCGCCTCCCCGATAACATCGGCGGGGCGAGTCTCAACAGAGCTCCCCGCCGAGCGGCATGACGTGCACGCGCCGCCTGGAATGTCGAGCCCGTCACAAGCTGGCGACAAAGGGCACAAGCCCAGTGGCGCGCGGCCTCGGTAAAAAGCAATGGCTGGAGGTCGTGAGCGCCTGCTGGAGAGCAGGCTCGGCGGGCCGCCTGGCGACGGCGGGCCGCTCGGCCGTCCACAGGGCGGCGAGGGTCGCGTCGACGAAGGCCTGTCGGGCGCGGCGGCGCACAAGCGCCGCCGTGCAGTCCCAGACGTCCGTGTCGGGAATTCTACCTGCGAGGGCCGCCGACCACGCTAGGCGGGCAGCGTCGCTGGCCAAGGCAACGGCGTCGCCGTTGCCTTCCGCTATCATGCTGTCCCATTCAGACAGGGACGGGTCGGCAAGATCGACGTGGCTCGGCGTCCAGACAACGCGGACCTCGCCGACTCGTGCGGCGAAGGCGTCCCAGATTACGCGCCACATGTCCTCGTTGCTGCCAGCGACTCCCCCGTTGCGGTGGAGACCTTGCTCCCCTCCGCGCAGGAGCATGGAGCAGTCAGTCACGTAAAACAAAGGCCCCGAGAACGAGGAGAGCGCCAGCGCAAAGGCGCGGAGCTCCGCTCTGGGTGCCTTTTGGCGCCGACCGGCCATCCCGCAGGCCACGCCTGCGACACGGCGCAGGCCACTTTACGTGGCGATCATCACCACCGCGGCCGCGCCGACGCGTCGGCGACGCACGTCGCTGCTGAACTGTCCTCCGGAGCCGTCTCCGAAGACAGCCAGTAGAGAGCTGAGGTGCCAGCATCGGGCCGTGCTGGCAGCCTCGAGCGGCTGCTCAGAGTCGCCTCTCTCCTCCCCCACCACCCACGCCGTCCCGCCACCCCCGTCGACCGAGAAGGAGGGAAGTGGTCAGGCCGGAGGGAGGCGTGCCCCGACGCCAGAGCGAGGGCGTTCTTGCTCCCGGACCGCCTGGGCCCGCGGAGGCACACACACTCGGAGTCTTCGCAAGTCGGCCCCGCACTGCCGGGACATTCCCAACTTCGGTGACATCGCGTCTCCGGGGCCGACCCGTGCCGGGGGGAGAGCGGCGGAGGTGGACAGACCTCCTATCCTGACGCGTCGAGTAAGGAATTGGCCGTTTTCGGTTCGCGAGGGGGCGTCGCGGCCGTCATTTTTGCGGGTCCAGGTCCGTCGGTTTCGGTCCCAGGCCGTTTTTGCTAAATGGAGGTTTACTGAAGGGAGGTTTGTCCACCGCCGAGAGCGGCGCGGCGTGCAAATCCGCCTCGATATCTGCCGCCGTTGGGGCCCCCGCGCCCCCCCCGAGATGGCAGCGGCCAACACTGGCCGACCTCGGCGCGCGAGCCCGAGCGGGCGCGAGCTCGAGGCGGACGGGGGCGGCGTGGTCCCCGCAGGCTAGAGTTAAGTCGGGCCTGTCCCTCGACAGGGGGAATATCCAAACATAGTAGAAAAATAGCCTGGGGACTATTTTTTCTAGGTTCTTGGGGCATCTTTTGCGAGCATGTTTTGATTATGTGTTTTTTCTTCGTCCGAATCCCCCTGTAGGGGGACAGGCCCGACTTATAAGGCTAGAGGCTCGCCGACGAGGTGGGGAGCCCTCGCGGCCCGCGGCGGCGAGGCGGGATCTTCGCGGGGGTCTTCCAGCAGCGCCAAAAGATCAGGAGCAGCATTACATCGGGCCTGTCCCCCTGCAGGGGGAATATTCAAAAATAATCAAAAGATAGTCTTGGGACGATATTCCTGATCATTTTTTGATCATGTGGGGGTATTTTTCTACTATTTTCATATTTTCGTCCACAATCCCCCTGTACGGGGACATGCCCGACCTATAGGGCTAGGCCCGCGGCGGCGAGGCGAGATCTCCGTGGGGGCCCTCCAGCAGCGCCGAAACATCAGGGATCAGGGGCAGCGTGAAGTCGGGCCTGCCCCTCTACAGGGGGAACATTCAAAAATAATGAAAGAATAGTCTGGGGACGATTTTCTAATCAGTTTTGATCATTTGGGGGTATTCCAGCAGCGCCGAAAGATCAGGGGCAGCGTGAAGTCGGGCCTGTCCCTCTACAGGGGGAATATTCCAAAGTAGTCCAAGCATAGTCTGGGGACGATGTTTTGAATGTTTCTTTCAGGGGGACCATTTTTGATTATTTTTTGACTACTATTAATTTCTTCCTCGACAATCGGGGGACGCGCCCGCCCTCAGGGCAGCGCTGGGCCTCCTCTCTCCCCGAGGGGGCGCGTCGGGGACCTACGGCGCAGCTCCCGGGCAGCGCCCACGCCCGGGCCGCCGCCTCGTCGCGGCGGCGACGAGCTGGCAGCCTATGCGGGTCGAAGGGGGCTGCCCTGGGCAGCTCCGAGAGGCCCTCGGACGCGCCTCCACCTCTGCTTCGGGATGCGACCGAGGCGCGCGCGGATGCGGGGCCGAGCCTGGCCGGCGCCAAGTCGGGCCCGTCCCGCAAACGGGGGGAGAATGCAGAGGTAGTCCAAAAATAGCCCAGGGGCGAGCTTGTTTGCGCATGTTTCTGCCATGTCGGTGTATTTCTGGATGATGTCTCATTTTTCGCTCAAGCTTCCCCCTGCAGGAGGACGGGCCCGACTTGAGGCTGGCGCGCTGGGCGGGCGCAGGCGTTGCGGTCCGCGTGCCAAGCCGTGCCCCAGGGCTGGACCTAAACGGTGTTTTTGGTGATTTCGTGGACCGTTTTCGTTTCGACTTCGTTCTGCAGCAAGGGCGGATTGGAGACAAAAGCGAGGGAAGACAAAAACAAAACGAACACGGAAAACACCGTTTAGGCTCAGCCCTGTCGTGCCCGAGACCAATGGGGTGCGAGACGACATCCCGGGGACCTGTATACTCCCAAGCCACGCAGGCGCTGTAGTGATGAGGCACCGCCCAGCGGCGGCGGCGGCGGCCTGCCGTCGCAAGACGGCGATCGTGGAGGAAGGGGCGCCCGGCCCGGGGTGCCCGCAGGAGGGCTTCGGGGGCGGCAAAGAGGGGGGTGATGGCTAGGGGGGGGGGGATATCATGGCGTGGGCCATGATACTTCCCAGATTTCATGGCACCTCTGCTTGTTTCATTGCATCCCTGGCCCCCCCCTTGGGCCGCGCACGTGCCGCCGGCCATGATTTGCACCCCCCCCCCCTCTCGGACGCCCCCCTCTTGGCCGCCCCCGAGGGCTGGCGCGGGGGCTTCCTGGGGGAAGGGGCCCTTGGAAATTGCACGGGGCTCCGCGTGCCTGAGGGGCCCATGGATCCTATCAGCTCGAAGGCGGCCTCTGGCTCACCTCTCGCGCAGCGACCTGACCGCGCGTCTCGCGCCGCCGGCCGTTCCGCGCCCGAGATCGACTGCAGAGGGCCCTCGAGGCAACGGCTGGCCAACCTCCTCCAGAAATACGGTCCAGGAGAAGACCGAGAGGAGGCGAGGCAGTGGCCGTTTTCGATTTGTCCGGAATTCGCAGCCGGGCCGAGCGAACGAGGCCACCACAATTGGACCCCCCACGGCGCGCAACGGTTGCCGGACCGTCGACTGGGCCCCCTCGCTGCGGACGACCGCGTCGCCCGCGGACACCCGCCGTCCAACTGGGGCAGCCGCGGGGGCAGTCGCTCGATCGGGCGCGCCCGGCAGGGTCGGCCCGAGAGAAACTTTGGCCATGTTCATCCCGCTTCCCGTAAGTCGGGCCTATCCCCTTACAGGGGGATTTTGGACGAAAGATAAACATACGTCAAAAAGCGCTCACGCTTTCGTGCGCTTTTTGTTTTCGACCTCGAGGAGAAGTTGGGCGCCGCGGCGGACCCTGGGGGGGCCGCGCTCTCGTCCAGGACCGCTCGCGCGAGCGCCGCGCGAGGAGCTGTCGGGCCGAGCGAAAGGGGGGGATAGGGAAAGAGGGGGGTACGAAGTCTGCTGCATGCAGCTGGTTTCGGCCCCGCCGAGGGGCCCATTCCTCGATACATGGCCGCCGTCGGCGCCGGGAAAACCAGCTACGTGAGCTGATTCTCACCCCCCCCCTCTTGCTATCCCCCCCTTCCGCCCGGCCCGAAGCTGGGCCGTCTTTCGCCCCGATGCCCCGCGAGCGCTGCAGACCAGCGGCCTGCGAGGCTGGCGCGCGCTCGGGGCCGCGCGCCGGCGCCCGTCGGCGGGGGGCCGAGCGCTCGGTCGCCGCCGGCGGGCCTCGGGGCGGCGCGGCGCGCAGCCTGCGGCGCCCGCCCGGGGCCAGGTGCGGATCTCGAGAGCCCCCGCCTCGTCCGGGAGGCCGGCGTGCTGCCGGCGGCCCTCGGTGGGAGGGCTCTGCCGATCGAGCGGCGGCAGCGTTGCGTCGGGCCTGTCCCTCTACTCTACAGAGGGGGAGGTTCGAACAAGAATCAAAAAAAAAGTAATTACAGGGGATACGATTGTTTGAGACTTGTTGTTGCCATTTGGGGGGTATTGTTTTGACTATGTTTAATTTTTCGTCCAAGGTACACCCGTAGGAGGACAGGCCCGACATAACGGCAGCGCGTCGCGGCCCTTCCCCAGACCCCCTCGAGTAATGAATAGATCATGACGGGAGGTTTTTCTTGATTTTCGGCCTCTGGGGGCCCTCACCGCCGGGCCTCGGGGGCGTCAAAAAGCGACTCGGGATGCAAAGCCGGTCATGGGGAAAGGGTCGTGAGCTATGCGGGGGTCGACGCAATGAAAAAAATCACTGCGTCGGGGGTCTGGGTCGTCGTCGACCCAGGGGGCGGCGAAGGGCGCCGTCGACGCGCGCGAGAGCCGGCGGCTCCGGTGGCTCAGACGGCGCCGACGCGCGGAGGGCCGCCGCTCCCTGCGGCCGGTCGCCGCGGGAAGAGGATGAGCCCCTCCAACTGCGCGGGCCGCCGCGGCGCCGTCGGGGGCCGTCGCGGACCCGAGGTCGGCGCTGACGCCATTCGCGCGGCGGTGGGCAGCACCGGGGCCCTAGCGCTGGCAGTCCCGCGCCCAGCGGGCGAGGGCCCGCCCGGCCGCCGCCGGGCAGCGGGCAAAAGCCCGCTGCGCGAGCTCCTGCGTCTGCTCCGCGGCCGTCTCGAGGCCTTCCACGTCGGCGTCGAGCCTGGTCGCCGCGTCGAGCAGCAGCTGCCGCTGCTCGATGACCTCGGAGCTCGCCTTCCTCCCGAAGGTGTGCTCCCGCGGCTGGTCACTGCCCTCGTCCACCATGCGGTCGATGTCGCGATGGTGGTGTCCTGCTGCACCTCGTCGGCGCCGTGCGGCTCGATGGCGAGAAGCTTCGCGTCGAGCGTCTCCCGCGCCTGCCGCCAGTCCGTGACGGGGGGGTCGCATGCGGGAACGGCCTGGGGGGGGGGCTTGAGGCGCGTCCAGACCAAGCTCGGGACCTCCGCTAGCGCGACGCGCGGAGTCGTCAGCCTTCTCTTGGCCTGGAGGGCCGTCTCCTCCACCATGCTGACCCGCGCGGCGTAACGCTGGGAGACGCCGTCACCGTCAGGAACCGCCCGTGCGTCGCCGCGCGCGCCGGCGGTCAGCGGCGCGCAGGATGCCGCCGCAGATCCGTGCCTCTCAGGTGGGCTCCGAACAGATGGGGTCGGAGAGTCGCGTCGCATTGCCGATGCATCGACGCTGCGACTCGATGTGCAGTGCGATATTCTGCACGCAAACGTCACCGTTGCATCGCCGAAATCGCCGGTGCATCGCCGACGTCGGCGATGCCTTCGGCGATGCCTTCGGCGATGCCTTCGGCGATGCCTTCGGCGATGCATCGGCGATGCGGCGTGATCCTCCGACCCCATCTGCTCGGTCCCCGTCTGGTGACGTCGATTGAAGGAAAAGGTTCCTGGGCGTCTCCCCAAATTCCAGGAGGTGCTTGGAGTTCCATGGGGTGTTTCTACAGGTCAAGGCTCTGTGGAGGTCTCCAGATGCCTCTGCAGACGTCCAAGCTACCAGACGCATGCGCGAGCCTCGATCCTCATTCTCCCTCCTCGACGACGACGACGACGACGACGACGACGACGACGACGACGACGACGACGACGACGACGACGACGACGACGACGACGACGACGACGACGACGACGACGACGACGACGACGACGACGACGACGACGACGACGACGACGACGACGACGACGACGACGACGACGACGACGACGACGACGACGACGACGACGACGACGACGACGACGACGACGACGACGACGACGGCGACGGCGACGGCGGCGCGGCGGCGGCGGCGACGGCGACACGGCGACGGCGACGGCGACGGCGACGGCGACGGCGGCGGCGGCGGCGGCGGCGGCGGCGGCGGCGACGGCGACGGCGACGCCGTCGACGGCGACGGGAGAGGATTGGAAGGGGATGGGGGGCGTCGCTGGAGCTGGCAGTGCGCGCGCCTCGCCGGGCCCTCTCAGTGAGAACGCCCGCGCGCCCGCCCCCCCCCCCTGGACATCCGCCCCGCTCGCCCCGCCCGCCGCGGAGAGTACCGCTCGGTCGTCGTTTTTTGGATCCCCAGAGTCCATTCTTCAGGAGGGAAAGAAACGCACAGGCACAAGTCATCGTGGATTCCCTAGAAATATGGGAAAATACGGGAAGTGGGGGGGAAGACAAAAACCCAGAAAATATAGGGAAATATGGGGAATCCGGTTATTTGTGTGTACTTATTTAATCGCTTCGCTCATTCCGCCGGCCCATACAGTCTCATGTCTGCCGTTTGCCCGAGGGCCTGGTGTCAATGCGGCGCTTTGGGGGTTCCTGGGGCCGCTTGGGGCACTCCTGGGGCGCTCGGGGGGGCATTTGGGGGGCCTCCTGGGGCCGCTTGGGGGACTCTTGGGGGCCTCCTGAGGGCCCGTGGGGGCCTCTTGGGGCCTCTTAGGGGCCTCGTAGGGGCTTCTTAGGGCCGAGGGCTCGAAATGTTGTTTCGTGTTCCCTCTCTGGGGCCCCTTTGGGGGCGTTCTTGGGGCCCTCTTGGACCGTTTTGGAGGCTTCTTGGGCCGTCTTCGAGCCCTCTTGGGCCATCTTGGGGCCCTCTTGGGTGCCTCTTGGGCCCTCTTGGGGCGATCTTGGGGGCCTCTTGGGCCGTCTTGGGGCGTCGGGAAGCCGAAAAGGTGGAAGCTCCAAAATCTCTCAAAAACCTATGGAAAAACAATGATTTTTGCCTCCGGGGGCCCTATTGGGAGTGCTCTTGGAGGCCTCTTGGGGCGTCTGGGGGCTATCTTGGGCGTCTTGGAGCGATCTTGTGGCATGTCGGACCCCTCGTGTACCATCTTGGGGGCCTCTTGGGGGCCTCTTGGCCTTTCTTGGGGCTCTCGGGGACGTCTCGGAGCCCTGTTGGTGCGCTCATGGAGCGCTCGGGGGGACCCGGCCGGGACCCGGCCGGGACCCGGCCGGGACCCGGCCGGGACCCGGCCGGGACCCGGCCGGGGACCGGCCGGGACCTGGTCGGGGTACTTTTCGTCCGGGGACCCCCAGGGGCCGCCCCGCGCGCGCGAACTAGAAAATTGTTAACCAGTTACCGGAGATCTTAGCACGCCTCTGGCCCGTTGGGCCGGCGAATTTGTGTGTCCCAGGGCCCGCTCGCCCCGCTCGCCGTGGAGAGTAACGTTAAGTCGGGCCCGTCCCTCTACAGGAGGAATCATCAAAAATAGTAAAACAAAAAAAAAAAGCCTGGAGACGATGTTTTGAGCATTTGTTTGCCATTTAGGGGCATTTTGGGTGTATTTTTAAATTTTCCGTCCAAGCTCCCCCTCTGCTCCGTGGCTCTGCCCCCTGCTTCCGACCGAGGGGTAGGGGGTCCCGAGGGAGAGGGGCCTCGAGCAGCTGTGGCTTGCTTGCGGCCTCTCGGGCTCTTTCCCGGGGCCCGGGGGCCTCAGTGGGCCCTGGAAACGGCAGGGCCGTTTTTTTATCGGTTCCGTCCTGCCGTTTTTTTGTCGGTTCCGACGCCGTTTTTTTACCGGTTCCGTCGCCGTTTTTTGATTGGTTCCGGCTCCGGTTCAGTCCTGGAGCTTTTTTTTTGCCGTTTCCTGTCGCCGATTTTTTGCCGTTACCATTTTCAACGGGCACTTTTTTGGAAACGGTGAAAAAACGGCCCTGCCGTTTCCGGGGCCCACAAAGCCCGGGGCTATCATAAAAACAACGACTCAGGATTCGGGGGAGGCAAAGACGAGGGTGATGGTTAGGGGGGGGGGATATCATGGCGGGGGCCATGGTACTTCCCCAGATCTCATGGCGCCTCTTCTTGTTTTAGTGCATCCCTGGTTTCCCCGCTGGGCCGCGCACATGCCACTGGTCATGATTTGCACCCCCCCTCTTGGACACCCCCCTCTTGGCCGCTCCCGAAGGATGTGTGAGCTCCAGGGGGGTATGGGACGGTCGCGTGTCGTATGTCAGGGCTACCAGCCGAGAACCTCGCCGGAGCAGCAGCACAATATTCTGACAGGCGAGAAGGGCAACACGTTGCGATGGGGGAGGCGCCGCCCAAGCAGCTCCCGACTTCGCGGCAAGCGCGCCGCCACACCAGATTAAACGTCTGCCTTCAAACTGCCTGCCCCCAGGATCCTCGTGAATGCAAAACCTATCCGTCTCCGCGGCCTTGCGGATACGCGGCGTTTTTCGTTCGCGGATGCCCCGCGCGGGACGCATCCGTGCGACCGCCCATCCGCAGGGCCGCGTTTTGGCCTCCAGATCGCGAGGGCTCAGAGACGGATGCGTGTTCACCGGGTCCTTTCTCCCATGCAGTCCGAGCGGGGTAAAAGATCGAGGTCGGTTCGGGGAGAGGCCCCCAAGAGCGCCCCAAGACGGCTCAAGATGACCCCAAGATGGACCAAGAGGCCCTCAAGACGGCCCAAGAGGGCCCCAGCAGGGGCCCAAGAGTGGCCCCTGAAGACATTTCGGGCCCTTCGCCCCAAGACGACCCCCGAGACCGCCAGCAGGCCTCCAAGAGGCCCCCCACAAGCTCCAGTAGGTCCCAAACGAAACCCAATTCAGGCCCCAAGAGGCCCCCAAGAGACCCCCGAGAGGCCCCCGAGACACCATGCTCTTCGTGCTTGTTGGATGTTCGTGCGCACCCTGGGGAGGGTACCCTCGGATGTTCTGTTAGTTTTGGCCGACGGAGAGCCTCGCGTTCTTGAAGGATGCTCTGACCCAGGTCCGACTGTGCCGAAGGTTTTTGCACCGTGTTGGCTCTCCGTGGCAGCCCCAGCGCGGGCGTTCCAGGCTGCGCGACGCCCAGTGGCCCAGAGCCGGCCGCCGCAGGCTTGCTCCGTGCTTCGGAGGAGGGGCGTTTGAGGCACTGGCGGTTGGCCTTCGGGGGGCCTCCTCGTCGCCACGGCCAGGCGCAGCTCGCGGAAAACTGGTGCGCTGGGACCCCGGGAGGCGTTTGGGGACCGACTTTGAGCTGATCTGGAGTTTCCAGTGTCTCAGCTCGCCCTTCTCAGAGTGTTGGCTCGGCGGCAACCCTGGCGCGGGCGTTGAAGGGGGAACGCCGATGGTGGCCCAGAACTGGCCAGTTTCGCACGACGGGCGCTATTGGAAGGCCGCGAACGTTGAAGGTTGGACGATGCTATAGCCTCCATGGCAGCGGTCAGGCATATGTTTCTGGACTCTTGTGCTCAAAGGGGGGCTCGTATATCCCACCTCCACTCACCCCTGTTGCGTCCTGCTGTGACTTATCACTGTCACTGTCTGCTCTCCTCCGCTCCGCTGCGAAGCAGACGGTGGCGCGAGTATTCGCGCATCCGGTTTCGCGAGCGTCTGCATGCCGCGCTCTCCCTGGGAGGTGGGAATATGTGGAACCGTCGCGCACAGAGTAACTGCAAGGTGGAGGAGGATCCTCCATATCCGAAGTATCGGGTTGATGTTACTAGTGTGATAGCCTCGCCTCCCTTCCTCCTCGCCACCCACCTGCCTGTGCTCAGGTCACTCCCTCTCAGACGCACTTCTGTTCCTGATTTGCATTCATACACACTCATACCCAGATTCAGCTTCGCCGTACTCAGCACTCCGACTCCCGCAAGCGGATGCGCACTATCAGACCCATTCAAACTCGCTCCCCCATCATACTCGGGTGAGGTCAATGTTTCCGACCGCTTGGGAGGACTCGCGCCCCATGCTCCAATGGGCGCCCTCGAGTGCGCGAAGCTACTCGCGCCTTGCGATTGGCTCCGATTCCTCCCCATCCTCCTCTTCTCCCCTGGGAGGCGGCGCGAGAGCGCGAAGTCATTCGCACTTCGCGCTTCGCGCAGCGCGACGCGCGAAGTTGGGAGCCCTCGATGCTCGCGCGAGGAACCCGAGGGGCGACCTCGCCGTCGGACCTCGCGAGCGCACGGCGTGGCTCCCGCCGAGAACACCGGGCGCCGGGCGCCCTCGCCGCCGGTTGCCGCACGGCGCCGACCAGCTGCGGGGAGGACGGTCGCCTCTCGACGTGCTCCTCCTCCTCCTCCTCCTCCTCCTTCTCGTCCTCCTCCTCCTCCTTCTCCTTTTCCTCCTCCTCCTCCTCCTCCACCTCCACCTCCCCCTATTCCTCCCCCTTTTCCTCGCTCTCCTTCTTCTCCTCCTCCTCCTCTCCTCCTCCTCCTCCTCCTCCTCCTCCTCCTCTCCCTCCTCCCCACCCCACCCCACCCCACCCCACCCACCCTCCTCCTCCTCCCTCCTCCTCCTCCTCCTCCTCCTCCTCCTCCTCCTCCTCCTCCTCTGGAGACATTCAATGCCCTGGTTTTTTGATCCTCGGTCCGCAGAGGTCCCGACCCCTCTCTCCCGGGACTTGCCTTCTGCCCCGAGCCGCTTCCCTGGCTCTGGGCCTGGGCCTCCCAGAGGTGGGGTCGGAGCGGATGCGGTCGGAGGATCGCGCCGCATCTCCGATGCATCGGCGAAGCGTCTCGATGATGAGCTCGTCTCCGCGCCGACAGTCACCGCCTTCCAAACCACCCCAATCCAACCCGAAGGCCGCAATTTACCCTCCATCTCCAGTGGGGGAGGGGTCGGGGAACATTGAAAAAACGCCTGGAATCCGTACCCCCCCCCCAAACCCGAAACTCGGGCGAAATTCGGGTCTTCGGGTTGGGTCAGGGTGGTTTGGTAGGTAGTCAGACAGCGGCAGTCTCTCGCCGATGCATCGCCGATGCATTGCCGATGCACCGCGGATGCGGCGTGGTCCTCCGACCCCATCTGGCAGGACCCCATCTTGGAGGCCTCTGTTGGCGGTCCGAGGGCCCGACGAGGGTGCCCAGAAGAGGAAAAACGTGGAACACCTTCCGACCTCAAATCTTGGCAAGGGCTCCCTCGAGGGCGCGAAGTTATTCGCGCTTCGCGCTTCGCGGTCCTCGTTCCTTCTCCCCCTCCTCCTCGTCCTCCTATTCTCCCTTTGGGGGGGCGGCGCGAGAGCGCGAAGTTATTCGCGCTTCGCGCTTCGCGCAGCGCGAAGCGCGAACTTAGGAGCCCTTGGAACACCTTCCGACCTCAAATCTTGGCGACTTGAGTTTTTTGTGCCCGGGCCGTTTCTGGACGGTCTTGGGGCCCGGCGCGGCCCTTCAGAGGCCGAAGACGCAGAAACGCCTCCGCCGTGAATCCTGTGCGTCGCGAGTTCTTTTCATCCCGAGTCTCCGCCACTCATCTCTATGTATATATATATATATATATATATATATTCATATACGTATATAAAACTATGTGTACACAGACACCCTCCAATGGATGCTTCCTGGGTCTTGAGGGAGGATGGCGGCGGCGTACGACTCACCACTGGGAGCCAGCGCATTCATTCACCGCCGCCCTTCGTGAAGTACGCGCAGAGTTCGTCAGAGGGTGTCTCTGTGCCATGTATGTATGCATGCATATGTATGTATGTGTGTGTATGTATGTATGTATGCATGTATGTATGTATGTATGTATGTATGTATGTATGTATGTGTGTACGTATGTGTGTATGTATGTATGTATGTATGTATGTATGTATGTATGTAGGTGTGTATGTGGGTATGTATGTATATATATGTGTGTATATGTGTATATGTATGTATGTATGTATGTATGTATGTATGTATGTATGTATGTATGTATGTATATGCATGCGGATGCGGATGCGTATGTGTATGTGTATGTGTATGTGTACGTGTACGTGTACGTGTACGTGTACGTGTATGAGTAGGTGTATGTGTTTGTGTATGTGTATGCGTATGCGTATGCATTTGTACATGCATGTGAACATGTATATGTGTATGCATATGTATATGTATATGTAGCTGGATATGCAGATTCCATGTGTATGCGCATGCATATATATTGTACATATATGTCTGGATATGAATGTGTATGTGTATGGTCAGGTTTTTGTGGTTATGTGTATGTTAATGAATGTGTATACTATATAAATGTACACGCGTTTGTATGTGTATGCGCACATGCATATGCACATGCATATGTATAGGTCATGTAAATGTATGTGTAGATGTAAATGTACATGTATACGTATGTGTATGTGTATATGTATGTGTGTATGTATATGTATATGTAAATGTATAAATATATGTATGTGTGTGTGTGTCGGTACATGTATGTGTATATGTATATGTATATGTATATGTATGTATACATGCATTTGTATATGTATATGTTTATGTATATGTATGTGTATATGTATATGTATATGTGTAGGTATATGTATTTGTATATGTATATGTATATGTATATGTATATGTATATGTATATATGTGTATATGTAGAAGTGTGTATATATATATACGTGATTATGTATGTATACATATATACATACCTATATATATATGATATTCGTGGCGTGGAATCGTTCCTTGTCGGTCCTGTGGCCTGGCGAGGCCGCGGCCGAGAGCGCCCGGGTCGGGGCTCAAGAGACGGGGGTCAATGCAAACGGGGGTCAGCCGGGTCACCGGATCCTGCAGGATCCTGCGAAGACCCCCTTTGGCTGGCCCAGGTTGGCGAGCCGCTCGTGGCCAGGAGGCGGCCGCGCACATTTTGGCTGACCCGGGTTTGCGAAGACCCGCGTTGCATTTGTTCATAGCATTGCAGTTTTTTGGCTTCCTGCTGACCCGGGTCTGGATGTAAGTCGGGCGTGTTCCCCTACAGGCTGATTTTGGAGGAAAAGTTCAAAATATTCAAGAAAGACCCCAGAATAGTCAAACAATATTTAAAAAATCGTCCCCCGCGGCGCAGCTGGGGTCCTCGGAGCGCCGCTGGAGATAGTCAGGGGACTTTGTTTTGTTTTCTCGAGTTGTTCGTACAAATGATAATAACGGTTATTAAAGTTATTCTTATTACTACTACGATTCGTATTCTTCTTCTTCTTCTTCTTCTTCTTCTCCTTCTTATTATTATTATTACATGTATACTATCGTGCAGCATCCGCCTGCAGGGGGACATGCTCGCCCCAGACATAAACGTACAGCTGTTTGGTTCCCTGCGGGCCCGGGTCTGGCTTGACCCGCGTCCCAATACCCCCCGCGGCGCAGGGGAGCCTCCCCCCCCGAGCCAGCTGCCGGGGTCCGCGGAGCGCCGCCGGAGGCCCTGCCTCGGCGGCCCCCGCCCGCGGCTCGTCCTGCGTGCGGCCTCGGCCTCGGCCTGCGGAGGTCGCAGGAGAATCGGGGGAGCGTAAGACCCGGGTTTGCCAGGACCCGGGTTCGCCATCGTTTTTTGACGACCGCGACTCGGATTTTGACGAGGAGGAGTTTTGTGGGATGTCTGCAGCGGGAGGCCTCGTCAAAATGCAGGCTCGGCCTCGTCATTTTTTTGACGACCTCGTCGGGGATTTCCGAGTCCCCCGTACCCGGGTCTTACGTCTCCCCGAGAGAAGCAGCGCCAGGGGCATAAAAAACGTACGTCGGGCGTGTCCCTCTACAGGAGGAGTATTCAACAGCAGTGAAACGATAGTCTGGGGGACCAATGTTTTCGCATCTTTTGAGCATTTTTTGGGTGTGGGGGTACTTTTTGAATATTTCCCGTTTGTCGTCCAGGATCCGCCTCTAGGGGGACATGCCCGACCTAGGCATAGACGTTTGGCGCTTTTCTCCCACTAGGAGGGCAGAAATATTTGAGGTGTGGCAAGGCTGAGCACGTGAAGCATCACCTGTGGCGCTGCATTCCTAGGTGTATGAGCGTGCTTCTTTATTGCCTGGGCCATATCGCGCGTTGTGGCCCCCAGCCCCCACATAACGCAACGCTCGCCTTTCCCAGTGCACCCCCGGCACCGCCGCCGTGCGCATCGGGATCCGCAGAGGAAGTCTTGGATGCTTCACGCCCAGTCTGCACACCGGCCTTCCGGAAACCAGCGCGTTTGTCGCGCCTGCCGCCCTGGTGTAGGATCGCCTCGCGGCGACGGCAGACCCGCTCGTTCGTTCGCTTGGCGCGGCCCGTCGCCAGATCAGGCGGCACTGGCCATCGTTTGCTCGAACCCTGTCCCCATCCCGCTACCTCAGTGGGGAATGTACCCCCCGCTGCGGATGGTCGTGGGGTCGGATAAGCGATGCTTGTGCGGTGATGGATGGACACTCTGCGAGGCGCCTCGTCCTCAGGGCCCCATCCCTCGGGCGCCTCGGCGCGCCCCGTCACCACATCAGGCGGCACTGGCCTCCTGTCTCGGGTGCACCCTTCCCGGTCCGCGCATCCGGCGCCCGCGCGCCGGCCCCGCGGAGCGCCCCAGTCCATGCTGGCGGCGCGCGCCTGGCTCTCGGGAGGAGAGTCGTTTCGCCCGACGCTGGGGTTCCCCGACGACGGATCGGGGAAAGGGGGGGAAGGGGGGGGGGGTTTCCCGACGACGGATCGGGGAAGGGGGGGGGGGGGGGTC